GTACTAATAGTGTTTGGACAGGATACCATGTCTGCATCTTGTACTATGAATAACTACTATAAAGACAACAACAAACACTATGAAGACAATAATAATAACAACAATATGCAATGTATTAATTATTGAAACTGTCCTATTAATCGGTTTCGAAACTGTCTCATTGCTATTTGTTTCTCAATGAAATTAATTTTTAAAAAATTTACAAATGCCTGGATATAGCTCAGTATAGAGAGGTCCTGGATTAACTCTCCAATACAAAAAAGAAAAAAAAAGGAAAGTGGTTAATACTGTAACATTAAACTTGATTTCATCTGCAAAATTATTAAAAATACTGCATAAGATTACCTTCTGGCCATGCAAGACATATTTGAAACTTAAATGAGTTTTATATGTAGATTTAGTTCCCAACCCGAAGATACTTTATTATATGTAAACATTCCCAAACCTCCCAAAATCCAAAAATCTCAAATACATCTGTCCCAAGCATTTCTGATGACTGACACTTAATTTGTACTTTATAGAAATATGATTCTCAAGTAAAGATCTAATTATAACTAGCATTTTCTTTTCTTACTGAACACCTGAGTTTTGGCTTGAAATGTGTGAAAATTAACTACAACTGTCCCCAGTATGCCTTCCAGAGAAAGAAAGGTTACAGCAAACAATGTAAGTAATTTCCTTATATCCTATTGCCCAGATCATGGCATTACAATATCACCTCTATAACCCAGCAAAAATATTACCAAAAAAAAAAAAAAATTACCCAAGCTTTTCTGAGTTTATGATTTAGTCTAAAATTCAAATATATTCATCTTCTTCAAGTAGTACTTTAAAACTTCCATAAGACTGAAACTTTTTGTTTCTTTCCCATATTAGGTTATACCACCGCTCACAGTTCAAACACAACTATGCTCATTATAGACTCTGAAAGTGTGAGCTGGGCATGGTGGTGCACACCTATAATTCCAACATTTGAGGAGGACTGCTTCATCTGCAAGGCCAGCCTGGGCTACATAGTGAGATACTGTCTTAAAAAAAAACAAAAAAAAAAAAAAAAAAAAAAAAAAAAACAAAAAAAAAACCTAAAAAATAAGCAAAATCCTAAAAACTTACAGAATGTCCATTCTGAATGAAACTGCCAGACACCAAATAGGTGACATGCAGTTGGGCTCCTGAATTCTCCTTCCGTTTTCTTTCAACATAATCATACAGCATCCTGTTTGAAAAAAGGCAAAAACAACTCAATGGCCAGAGTTTTTAATCTCATCAACTCTTCATTTACAGCTTAAAAGTTAGATATAAAAATCTGACAGTACAAAACAACCAATAGAATTTTTACTCAGCCTATGGACAGAATGCTTTCTAAAGGTTAGACATTAAGTAGACAGGACATGGAGATTAGACTCAACTTGTGTGACTTACACAGTGATACAGCAAATAACTGAAATCTAATAATAGGCCGAAAGGGACAGAACCTACATTAAAATCATGGTGATACTATATAAAGGATAAATAATCATGAGTATGTTTAGTCATTACCTAGCTATCCAAGATGTTACTCTTTTCTACACAAGAGATTAAAACTAGATTAGTGATTTTTCTAACCTGGGATTCAGGTGGCCTTCTATAGCCCTCCAACCACTTTCAAAATCAGAAATTATACCTCTTCTTTTATATACCAGGAATCAAATTCAGGACCTTGTGCCTGCCATGTAGGCACTTGTGCTGATGAGCTCTATCCCCAGCTACGTGTGTGTTTTTTTCTTTGTGGGTGGGGAAGATGATTAAGTGTTTTCAACAGATTCTAAAAGAATTCGCTATTCTAAAACATTACACACTATGATGTACAAGATCACAAATCTCCAGCTCTGAAATTTTATACTCAGATTCAGTACTGTTTCATAACTGCAGAATGCAATGGCTTACTTACACCAGCCAATGTGTTCAGAACTGTCATTAGCCTGAGAGAGTCAAACAATAAATGCAGAAACAATGCTGTTCTTAGTAAGAGCCCTAACTTTTTTATCTCCAGCATCCAGCAAATATTAGAAGTTGACTTTAACAGTTTAACATCATCAAAAAGACATACCATTTGTCTTTCACTTCAAGAAACATTCACTGAACTTCTCTGACATAATGTGCTAAACTCTCAAAAATTCCAAGAGAAACTCAACCCACATTGTTCGCTCTTTCTGAAGGGCTCCCTCTCAGAGTCTATAAAATCACGCTCCACTGAGGTTCCTGCTACCTTCCAGCTACCTCTGCTCTATTTCTTGCAGACTTCTGCACTTCCTCCCTCTTCCTGCCTAGGCCCGAGGAGCTGCCTGGGACATGGGACAGTGTTGGTTACCCTGCTGGTCTTCTTCGTCTGTTTTAGTGAAGGGAGACCTGTTAGAGACTGAGTACCAAACTGCAACTCAAACCCACTTGTTAATTGCAAAGTGCCAAAACTGCTATTAAACCTGAATATTGAGGTTTTAATTTAGAAAATACAAATCTATATTAACATCTTTTGTCTTAAAAGAAAAACACAATAACACTCGAGCCACAGGTTTACCTCTCATGGTTTATTTTATTCACCCCAAAGCTTCCTTTATCTCTGACAGCATCATTTGCTCAAGACAAAAATGTGGGAGTCATTACTCTTCCCTTCTCCTTACTCAGTAGACTGCCAAGTCTCACCACCTCTCCCTCCCAAGTTAATTCTTGACTCCACGCCCTCCAAGTCTCTTGAGTAATTATTTTAATTCCTGGTGTCAACTGCATCTCCCCACCAGCTTCATTATCTATGATGCTGCCAGTTTTAAACTAATTTATGTTCCATGTCTCTGGGACAGAACAGTATAGAAACAGCCAAAGTTCCTACCCTTTCAGATTACATTCTAGGAAAAAGACAACTTAAAAAATTAATATGTAATACCGGATGTTCGTTAAGTTTACAACGGGGAAACCAATTAAGACAAGAGGATGAGTGTGAAGCTCTGTAATTTTACTAAGATGGTTAGAGAGGGCCTCATGTTCACCTCCTGTAAGAAGTGAGGGAACCACCAAAGTGGGGCTCTCGGGAAAGAGTAGTCCAAGCAGAGAGAAGAGGAAACACAAAGGTCCTGAGAAAAGAATGTCAAAGGAGGGAAGGATAAAGGAGAACAGTGGCCAGACATTCACAGCTCTGTGGACCTAGAAGTGAGGTGATCTCGCTTTTAGAAGGAGTCCTGGTTGCAGTGTGAAGAATGTACTGTAGAGCAGCAAGGTAATAAGCAAGGAGCTGAGCTAGAAGGCTACAGAGGACGGTAGCTCAGCCGAGGCAGTGGCTGAGGTGACAAGTGGGTAAATCATGGTGTATTTTAAAGGGAGAGTCATCAGGATTTGCTGATGGATCAATTGTGATGTGTGAGAGAAAACCGAGTCAGGAATGACTAGTGGGTTAAGCAAACTCCAAAGATGAAGCTGCTGCAGGGTGCAGTGCTGCACTCTTGTAATCCCAGCTATGCAGGAGGCTAAGGAAAGAGAATTATAAATTTGAAATTCGGCTGGCCAATTTAACAATACCTTGTTTCAAAATAAAAACAGAAAAGGACTGGGGACATAGCTCAGGGCTCCCTCAAAAAAATGACAGTTCATTTACTGAGAAGGAAACACACTTGTTGAGAGAAAACATCAAGTCAGGTTTTAGAACACGCTCCCTTTGAGATGTCTCTTTGTCATTACTGATGCTGACAAGTCAGTCAGCTCTTTTTTTTTTTTTTTTTTTTTTTTTGGTGGAACCAGGGATTGAACTCAGACACTTGTGATTGCCAGGGAAGCGCTTATTCCACTGAGCCATCTCCCTGGCCCAGCTCTTTTTAAATATTGCTCTTTGTCTCAAAGTTTTCAGTAGGTCTCCATCTCCTTAGGACCAACTTCAAATTCCTAGCAATTACATGCAAGACCTTCTGGCCTGGGATTTGCACCTAGGTGTCTTCCACTACACCCCCCATACCCACCCTATTTTCAGTCTTATTAAAGAGCAGATGCCTGGGCCATCTAAGCTCTAACAAAGATCACCCTATATCTATTGTTATGGCACTTCCCATACTGTATTCCAACTACTTCACTTATCTTTATATACCTGCCATCTTCACTGGATAAGACTGAAACAGCAGCTTCCATTCAGATACTTTTCCACATCTTTCCACTGAGAGGTAGAATATAGCCCCATGCCCTGAATCTGGGAGAGCTAGTGATTCACTGGCTACCTCTGAGGCTAGCCAGAAAAAGCACATGGCTTTTACCATGTGCTCCTAGAGCACAACCTTTTAGAGCCTTGAGCTACTGTGCGAGACATCATGCTGTAAGGAAGCCTGGGCCACATAGGCAGACCACATAAAGTACTCTGGCCAACAGTCCTAGCTAAAATTTCAGCTGCTGGTCAGCATCCACTGCAGACATGTTCCTATTCAGACGCCTGGGCTCCAAACACTGAGCCGAGGTAAGGCACTAAACATCACAGAATCAACAAAAGCAATTCTCATTGTGCCCTGTCCAAATTCTGGACCACAACAAAATTGTTGAAATTTTGAGATGACTTGTCACACTGCCAACAGTAATTAGATAAGTAATCTTTTGCAACAAGACTACTGCCTTTATAGAGCTTCTAGTAAACCCATGCATGACAAGCAAGAAAATGTCAGACAGAAAGAATTACTAAGTTGTGGGACAACTGGATATTCACTATTAGGGCTTAATCTAAAATGTCCCTGAAAAATCTCAGGTTCAGAGGTGAGACCTAGAGAGCTGACTGGATGAGGAATGCACTAGCTCCATCAGAGGTCATTAGGAGGGCTGGGCCAGATGGAGGAAGGGCATCACTGGGGCACGCCTCCAGAGGACACACTTGTCCCTAATGCTTTCTCCTTCTGCTTCCTGGTACCTTGAGGTCAGCAGCCTTCCTCCAGCATGCCACCTTGGAGCCAGCCAACCATGCACTGAAACTTCTGATGAACCAAAATAAACTTTGAGTTGTGTATGTTGGGTATTTTGGTCGCAATAATGGAAGGGTGACTAATATACCCACATGTACAAGGAGGAGGTTAGATCCTTTCTTTTACCCCATGTACAAAAGATTCCAAACTATTTCTAAAAGACATAGTATTTACATATTTTAATGCTTCATTTAAGAATGTAATCTAAGGGCCAGTGAAACAGCTCATCGGACTAAGTGCCTGCTTAGGCAAGCACAGGGACCAGGGTTTGATCCCTGGTCCTGGCCCTGCCCCTGCCCCAGGGTGTGCTGACCTAGCTACTGAGACTGTGCGTGGTGGCACATGGCCTGTAATCCCAGCGCTGGGAAGGCTGAAAACAGGAGGATCACTGAGTCTGAGCTGTGAAGTGAGACCTTGTACCACATACATAACATAAATAAATTGAAAAAAAAATGTGATCTAATGGTACTACTAATTTCTATTAGTTCATTGAAAGGAACTGTTAATGTTTACATTGTTTGATCAATCTTACATGCCTATATCTGGTAATCTGAGCAACTACTTTGAACAATATGCAATATAACTTAATTTTCTCTCATTTTGTTTTGAAATTCTGTATTGTTTTTGTTCTTCGAAATCCTTTTTAAAATAAAGCATTTAAAAATAAAAATAAAAATCTAATCTGCAAGTTTTAGTATATTCTTCTCTATGCCCCCCATCCCCCGGTTTTTTGAGACATGATCTTGCTAGTCTACCTGGTCTTGAACCCGCAATCTTCCTGCCTTGGCCTCCCAAGTGCTGAGTTTACCTGCAAGCATCACCATATGCAGCACTTGTTTTTAGGTTAACAAAGACATGATCTGTAGAAAAGTTAAATACAGTGATAATTAGTAATGACTTATAAAATGAACTCCAAATAGATCACATAATTAAATGTAAGAAAAAAAGAACTGTACAACTCTTAGAAGAAAATCAGGATAAATCTTTATGACCGTGAGCTAGTTAGGTAAAGCTTTCTTAGATATACATAAAAAGCACATGGAACAGTTGGGGGTGGCAGTACATGCCTGTAATCCCAGCACTTGGAAGGCTGAGGCTGAAGGACTGCCACAAATTTGAGGCCAGCCTGGATTACATGAGTTTAAATTCACCCCAGAATATACAGTGAAAATCTGTTTAAAAAAAAAAAGCATAAACAACAACTTTGTCAATAATAAAAATGTCTCCTTCAATGAATAGCATCAAAAGAGCACAACAATAACCTGACAAAAAGTTAAAAAAACATGATTTTAAGGAAAAAAAAAAAGTATAAACACAGTTGGGTATGGTGGCACACAGCTAGAATCCCAATTCTTTAGGAGGCTGAGGCAGGAGGATCACAATTTCAAGTGTAGTCTGTAAAATAGTGAGACCTACCTCAAAATACAAATACAACTAAGGTAGCTGAGGATAGAAGTACTGAGTTCAATTCCCAATACCGTAAAAAAAAAAAAAAAAAAGAAAAAAGAAAAAAAGAAAGGGAGGAAGAGGCTGAGCACAGTGGTGCACACCCGTAAGCCCAGTACTCGGGAGGCTGAGGCAGGAGGATCAGTGCAACTTCGAGGCCACCTGAGGCTACATAGTGAGTTCAAGGCCAATTTGTACTGCATAGTGAGATCCTGTCTCAAGAAGGAAAAAAAAAAAAGAAGAGAGGTAAGACAGAAAGTTTTTACAAATCATCTATTTGATCCAGGTCTTCAAAGAGAACTCTTAAAACTCAAAAGTAAAGACAATCCAATAAAAATATGGACAATGTTTTGACAATTATTTCTCCAAAGATATACAAATGGTCAATAAAAAATGAAAAGATGTTTAATATTTTATAGGACAATGCAAATCAAAATAAAAAACCGAATAAAAATCATTTCATATCTACTCTGAAGGCTAAAATAAAGATGTAAAACAGTGTTGGTAAGAATGTGGAGAAATTAGAGACCTCACATGTTGATGAGATCAGATGATGCCATCACTCTGAAAATTAGTTAGTTCCTCAAAATGTTAAACACAAGTTATCACATAAACCAGCAAGTCCAATCCTAGATATTATATATAAGAGAAATAAAACCATACGTTCATATGAACACTTGTACATAAATGTTTATAATACCATAATAGTCAAAAACAATTCAAGCGCTCATCAATAGATGAAAAGATAAAATTTGGTATATCCATGTAATGGACTGAATTGTGTCGGCAAAAAGATATTTTGAAACACTCACCAATATCTTAGGATGTGACCTCATTAGAAAATAGGGTTATTGCAGATTTAAGACAAGGTCATACTGTAGTAGTAAGGTGGGCTCCTAATCCAGTATGGAGTCCTTACAAGAAAATAAGCTCTCTGAAAATACAGATACACAAGGAAAAGACTGTGTGACAACAAAGGCAGAGACTGGCATCATATAGCTACATGACAAGAAATGCTGAAGAATGTCAGCTAACTACCAGAGGGGATGAGATAAGGAAGAACTCGTTCCTTAGGTTTCAGAGGGAGCATGGCCACCAAGCCCTTGAATTTGGCCATCTAGCCCCCAAAGCTCTAAGTCACCCTGTTTGTATTTATGGCAGCCACAGAAGTAGGAAGAAATATACCATACAATGGGGTATTATTTAGACATAAAAAAGAATTAAGTACTAAGGCATGCTACTACTTAGATAAACCTTAATAACATTATAATAAGTGAAAGAAAACAGACATACAATACTATGAAGATTCTGGTTATGTGTAATGTCCAGAAAGGATGACTCTACAGCCAGAAAGACTAGTGGTTATCTAGAGCTGGGGGTGGAATGGATGAAGGCTGGGCGGTTGGGGAAATGGTGAGTGACTGTTAATGGGTATAATTTGTTTATGGGGTAACAGAAATATTGTAAAACTGACTGTAGTAATAGTTGTACTACTCAGAATATACTTAACAACCATGGAATTGTACATTTTAGAATGGGTGAACTAAACGGTATGCAGATATCTCAATATAACTTTTTTAAAAGTTATGAAAGAAATTAACAGAATGCTATGATAGTTAGGGAGGCATGGTAGTATTTAAAAGATTATTAATTAGGGAAGACTTTATCTACTGAAGGATAAAGAAACCCTGGAGAAGCACCAGTTCAAACAGAGGAAATGGCAGAAAGACCTCAGGTGAAAGTTTGTATATGAATAGTAGACAAATATGTAGAGAGTACAATAAATGAGATGGAGAGCAGTATGGGATGAGGCAAGAACTAGACAACATGTTAATGCCATAAAAACTTTATGTAACCAGGTTAACGGCTGGCCAGATAGCTCAATGGACTAAAGTACCTGCTTAGGCAGGCACAGAGACTGGGGTTCAATCCCTGGTGTGCCATGCCAGCCCCACCCCTAAGGTGCGCTGAGACAGCAACTGAAACTAGGCATGGTGGCCTGCACCTGTAATCCCAGCACTTGGAAGGCTGAAAACAAGAATATCACCACGAGTTGATCTATGTAGTGAGACCCTGTACTAAATATATATATGGGGCTGGAGAGATGGTTCAGGAGAATAAGCGCTTCCCTGGCAAGCGCAAGGGTCTGAGTTCAAGCCCTGGTTCTGAAAACAAGAACAAAAACAAAACAAAACAAACAAAAACAGGTTAGCTACAGTAAAAGTACAGGCATTTTCAGGGAACCCCAGGTCTTAATCTATATTTTTTAAAGTCCAAAAGGAGTTGCTTCATTTCATATTTAAACATCGATATCCACAAAGAACAATAACTTTCATAGATGTCTGTTCCCAAAGTTATTGAAACTCTTGGGTTTGACAGAACTGGTCTCCAGCAATCTCAGTCAAAATCAAATTCATCCTCATGCTACCAAACCCATCCCCACGTTAATTGTTTCAGGTCTTAATAGCTTAAACATCACAGACAAAGATGGTCTCCTACGTGGAGACCTCAGCAGGCCTGGCAAGCAAAAGGTCCTGAATTCAATTCCTAGTATCCCCCCCAAAAATAGATGATCTCCTACATTTGTCCAGCATTAATCCAAGCAAAGCCAAATTAGCATCTTCTAGAGATCAGAGAGGCTGGGGAGATAGCTCAGTAGGATAAGCGCTTGCCTGCCAAGCACAAGGTCCTGAGTTCAATCCCTGGTACCGCAAAAAAAAAAAAAAGGATCAGAGACCTTTTTTTTGTATTGGGCACAAGTTCTCACTATGCAGCTCGGACTCACAGTGACCTTCCTGTTTCAGCCTCCTCAGCAGTAAGATTATGGGCCTATGCCACCATGCCCAGTCTTGGTGGCTGGCTTGGCTCTGCATGCCTAGGGAAGGGCTGACACCGTAAGTGATACGGGGGATAGAACCAGGGTCCTTGCACTTGCCTAGGCAGGCGTTTAGACCACTGAGCTATCTCTGCGGCCCAAGATCACAGACTTTCTAATATTCAGTGGAATGTTCCTGCAATACCAGGTCAGTGCGTGGAGTGGACCGATCAAGCTCATATTCCATCCAGTGGAATGATTTTATGATTCAGACTTTCTTCTCAAGGAAGAGACAAAAATCAGACTATACTTAGGAAACTAAATATGGATTTAAACCAATATATGTGCACTCAATTGGTTCACCAATTCCTTCCTTTGTGACGTAGGTAATATTTGCACCTCTGCAGGTCAAAAATCTAGTCAATTCAAAAGCCTTTTCCCTCTTGGCTTCAAGTTTTACCACCATTTTTAGAAAGGAAAAATTATACTGCAAAATTCATGGACACGTTTTTCACCATCCTAAACAGTCTCTTTTTAGTTTCACTTTAATAGTTCTCCTATTTACACTGTCACACAGCTTGTGTCAAACACCTGTTGGCTTTATTCTGGAAGTATTTTACTAACACCCAAAAACAGGCCCAAGAAGCACTTCTGAAAATGTAGTGAAGATGTAAGCTAACAAGACATAGAAATTTGGAAATGACAAAGTGACATTCACCAGAAGCCAAAAAACAAAAACAGTTCTGATATAGTGGCTACATAGACAGTAGTTTAAGGATTCTTTTTTTTGGGGGGGGCGGGGGAGGCTGGCTCAGGTTGCCTTAAGGGTGGGTCTAGTGCGGCATCTGGAGCTGGGAATCGAACTGTGTTCCCCTGTGCCTGACTGAGTTCGGCCATGCAGACACTTTAAACAACTGAGCTAACCTGCAAGCCTCCTACAGTAGTTTAAAACAAAGCAAAATAAAACATTTCAGTGTCATTAAAATCGGAAGGAAATTAGACTTACTGTTTGGCCTGGTTAACATGAACCCCTAGTGTATAGCTCAGCCACTTGTATGTCACCTGCAAGAAGAAGCATTTTAAAAAATATTTTAAATGACTGTGGATCAATACTAAGACCCACTTTTAAAGATTCCTATTCTTAGATATTAAATCACAATAGATGCCACTGCAATTTTGAACCATTTCTACCCAGGCAGGTAGAACCAAGATATTTATCTTACAAATACTTAGAAGTTCATTTTTTTCTTTCTTTTTAAATGTTTTTTGGTACAGGGTCTCATTATGCAGCTCGGCCTCGTAGTGATGCTCCTGTTTTCTGCCTCCCCAGCGCTGGGATTGCAGGTGTGTACCACCAGGCCCCATCTCAGCGGCGTGGGGGCTGTGCAGCATGTGGTGCTGGGGATCGAACCCCAGTTCCAGCGTAGAAGTTTGTTTCATGGACTAACACAAAAGTATCCAAAAATGCAGCCTGACTATAAAGAAAATCTCATTTTTCTCACACTCCTTTTTCTTATACCTTTTCACACTGTCTTTGAAGGAACCACAACCTTAAACTATCCTAAAACCAAAAACTAGACCACGTTTAAGTATGTGACTCAGAAACTTCTCCGAAAAGTTGCAAATGTTAAAGGTCGCGGGTGGTGTAGAGCTCAGCGGATGAATGTTTTATCAGGGATTAGTTTAGAAACTACTAACCTCAAGCTTTCTTGCTCCTTGACCCAGTATGCCTGCTCTCTAACTCTTCCAATTCTGAACGCTAACTTTCCAACACTAATTGTTACACAAAGGCAGTATAGCGCTAGTGGAAGAGAACTACGTATCTCTAAGTTTAAATAAAATGATTTGGCCCCTTGGCTTCAGCTTCCTCCTCCAGGATACTACCACCGACGTGGGAGGTGAGAGGGGGCTCACAGTAAAGTCCAAATACAATGCGTAACTAAAGTATCTGGGCAGTAGGCAGTCGGTCATCACGGTTTTGCAGAACGCGTTTACACCCGCCGCCTCACGTGATCTTTATACCAACTCCGAGAGGCAGACCAGCCTCGGTTTAAATTTCCAGGAAGAGGAAGCTGACTGCCTGGAGTTTAAACAACTCGTTACTTCACCTGGATAACACAATTTCCTCAACCGTAAACTTGGGACTTTAGACCCCAACCGCCTGACGAAATTCAGACAGACTCGGGGTGCAGAGCCGCCTCACAAACACTCTCACCCAACGGCCCGCCTACTGCGCGGAGCTCCGAGGCCCCCGCTGGGTGCAGAGCCCCCAGCGAGCCCCGAAGGGCACGCCGCTGGAACGCGCGCAGAGAACGACCTCCCCGGCGAGTCCTCGCTCGCCCCGAGGTGACCTGCCTCCCCTCCGCCAGCCTCACGAGGCCGCAAGACTGGGGTCCCCAATGCCCTGGCCCGCCCGCATTTCCCATTCCTAGCTCCTCACGATCTTGTTCTGGTCCGTAACGAACTCGTCTATATTTTCCAGATATAGCTGGTCTGCCATGGTGCTGTAGCAACGGGCGCTCCAAGCTTTGAGCCCCAATCTCAACCACAGCTCCCGCCGGCGGGAAACGACTTTGTTCCCTCCCAGGTCCCAGGTCGTTTCCCAAGGCAACGGAGGCGACGCGCTACGGCGGCCTTCAAGGGGCCAAACTAGTTACGGGACCGGCGCAGGCCTAGGTGGGTGGAGCTAGTTGGAGCAAACCGGAAATGAAACTCAAGGAAAGCCCTAGCCAGGACGTCTGTATGTGAAGTCAATACTTAGACATTTCACCGCTGCTGCTTAAAGGCAGACTGAACAAAATACTTCATTTGTAGCAGCCAGTTTGTACATATGTAAATTGATTAAAAAAAACAACAACAACAATTCTTGCTGCCTGGGTGTAAATGAGTGGTACAGTGCTTGCCTAGTTTGCCAGCTAGGTCGTGGGTTCCCTCCTCAATAGCAGACAAAAACCTGTATGGTCATTTGATACTTCTGTCAACAAAGTTATCAAGTACCAATTCTATTATAGGCACTTCTTAGGCAGTAAGGGCATAATAGCAGACAATAAGACAAACAAGTAATTTTAGTAGACTAGAATAAAGCACTGTTTTTGATATAGGGAGAAAAACTGATCTCCGGTGGGTAACCTCCAAGTGATACAGGGGACCTCCAAATGATATAGGGGGAAAAATGATCTCATGACCTGACCTGGACAAGTTCGTGTTCTCTGAAACTGAGGAATGAATTTTAGGAACAAACAGAGGTTATTACCAGAATATATTTATTGAGGGAAAGAAAGCTGTTCGAGAGAGGGCTGGGGAGGGGAGCAGGTGGTCCCCGGGAAGTTGTCTCCTCTAGGGACTTTTATAGAGGAAAACCATGTGGTGAGGCGGGTCTAAGGTAGAGAAGACATGGGAACTTGCTTAGGTGGGCATGAGGTGGGACAAAACTATGGTCAACCAATGAGATTACAAAAACCATTGTACAGGTAAAATTGATTAAATCCAGTACCAAATGGGGAAGTGAGTCAAGTAGCAAGGGGACATGAATACGGGACAGGGTCTCTTCCTGTTGGGGTTTGGACTGGTGACTCATTTGGGCTCTTTCAGGTGATTGATACTTATTTAGATTATCAATCCCTGATACCCATCCCCAGGGAAGTATGTAGCTATGTTTCCTCTTTTGTCTTGGTCTTGAGGTGTGGCCCATATGGGAGTGTCCGTCTCTTCCAAGTTGCAAAGTCACTTTGTCTTCCATCTTGTCTCCTTGAGGGCCTGGCCCTGGCGACTGCCTATAATATTTCTATCTAATTCAGCTGCCCACAACATTATAATCCCTCAGAAAAGATAAATTTCTCTCAGGAGTGTTTCTGACAGAGGTAGGAGCATTGGCCAAGAATAGAAACTTCACTATAGCTGCTGAAATGTTGGCGAAAGAGGCCGAGTAGGAAAAGAGACTTGGAAGAGAACAAATTATGCTGTCCTACGAGGCTGCGTGAACAGGTATGTGAACTTCATTCTTACCAAAATGAAAGGAACATTTTCATGATGGGGACTTTCCACCAAACTCTTCTAACATCACCGAAATATAAAACAAAACAAAAATCCTTAATAATTATGTTCAGCAGAAGCCTCTGTAGTTCAGTACCGCAATGTAGTGGATAAGCAAGCAGGCTCTGGAAGTAGACTGTATGGATTTGAATCCTCATTTTACCGCTCATGTGACCTTAGGTCCTCATCTCTAAAGTGGGAATGAAATAGCACCTGCTTCCAAGTTTTGTTGCAATATTTATTTGTTCAAGACAAAGTTAGCAAAAGCCTACCAGGAGCCAGACATTGTTCTGGGTGCTGGGACACTATGAATACAGGTGTGATATACAAAGCTTACCTCTTCATGGAGGTATTTAAGAGAGGTGTAGTGGTGGTAAATGATGTGCCCTTTGCTGAGATATGAAAGACTGGGGAAAAGAACAAATGTCAAGTCAAATGATTCAATTTGGTCAGAGTTATAATCGAAATAATCTACGTAGAGCCTTCACACTGTACCCACCCACAATAAAACTAATAATAGTTGGCAATTACATTATGTAAAGCAGGTATGTTGCAGCACATGCTTTGAGAGCAACATTTCATTTAATCCTCATAGAAACCTGCAAATGAATTATGTTGGTTTAGGAGGAAACCAACGGTAGTAAATACCAGTAAATAAACCCAGGACTATCTGGGTGATTAATGTCTTATCTGTATAATTATTGAAAAGCCTGATTTTAGGTTAAAAGCAAAATGAAAGACTACCCCTTGGTACATTCATTATTTACTGTCCTAAATCATACATAGTTCGCATGCATTCTTTAGAAAATAACAGTTATTATTTATTATTTATTTTATTTTAAAGAAAAAGAAGCAAAAACAGCAACAAAAATTCCAAATGAATATGAGGGTAACAATGGTTAATACGTTGCCTTTTATTATCTTTAAATTACTTACTCAGAGTATGAGATATCAACATTTAGTTGTCCAAACAATATTAACACAGACCTTAGTGGTATAACTAAATATATACTTAAGTGTATATTTTTTCCTTTTGCTTTTCTCTTCTTTAGTTTTTTCATCCTCCCAAACCAGCTTCTCTTTCCTTTTGAAGTTTCTTCCAATTTGAAAGTATCTATTGTGCATTTTGGATCTTATTTACTTTTTTATCTTCTCACACTAGGGAGAAATACGGTGTTCACACGTGTACATCTGGCTTATTTCACTTACAAGTATGGCCTTAAATTGCATCCATTTACCTATAAAAGTCTACAGTTTATACTTCTTTGTGGCTAATACTCCATTACATAAAAAGACCACATCTTTTTATCTGTTCCTTGGGTGATGGACATTTGGGTTGTCTCAGAGATCTAGCTATTATAAACTGTGCTGCTATAAACATGAGTGCACATATATCACTGTACTATGATGTTTTTAATTCTTCTGAGAAGACACCCAGAGGGGAACTGCTGAGTCAAATGGAACCTCCAATCCTAGGTGGCTGTGCCTGTCTGCACTCGCACTAACAGTGGACAAGTGTTCTTTCCCCCACAACCTCTCCAGAATTTGTTACTGATTGATATCTGGCCATTATTTCCAGGGTGAGATGAGCTATTATTTATTGAGTACCTACCACACCATGGGTCCCTTGCTTCTAAGTAAGTAGGTACCTAAATGGGGGACTCTTTATTTATTTTTATTTAGGACAGGGCCTATAGGTTCTTACTACATAGATCAGACTCGTGATGATTTTCCTGTTTTCAGCCTCCCAATTGCTGGGATTACAGGCACACACCACCATACCCAGTCTCAATCGCCCTCTCAATGCGCCCCATAGGTGGGGCCAGCATGGCGGGCTGGGGATGCAACCCTGGCCACTGCACTCTGCCTAAGCATGTGCTTTAGTCCGCTGAGCTATCAGGCCAGCCCATGAGGGACTCATTTAATCCTCAGAGAACTGTTGAATTGTAGAATCTCTTCACCAAAAAAAGAAAGTGATCCAAATTTGCCATAAACTATATATATGCGTGTGTGTGTGTGTGTGTGTGTGTGTGTGCGTGTGCGTGTGCGTGTGTGTGTGTGTTTTGTTTGTTTGCTGTTTTGTTTTTGGTTTTTTTTTGGCTGAACTGGGCATTGAACTCAGACCCTTGCACTTGCCAGGGAAGCGCTTATTCTACTGAGCCATTGCCCAGCCCCATAAATTATATATTGTTAATGAGAAATAAAAATAGGAAACAATTCCATATAGATTCCAGGATAAGTTTTGCTTAAACAAGTAGCTAAATAATATTTTAGAATCACTGTCTTTATAACATAATTGGGGGCCTGCCCTTTAACGCAGGTGTTTAAGTGCCTGCTGAAACAAAGCAGTCAGGCTCAGGCCAAACCTGCCCTGAAGGCAACCTGAACAGCCTCCCCCCCCCAAAAAAAAAAATAACATAATCAGTTAATAAATTTTCAATAAATGTTTAGTATTGACAAGCTCAATTCCACTAAAGGTAATGAGATTTAAGAGAAAAACAACAAGTAGACCTGAAATATATTTACTATTATTTGTCATTCATTGAGGCGCAGTGTCATATCTCTTAAATATTCTCAACTTAATCTTTGAAATATCTATAAGTAAATACTATTATGTACCATTTTATAGAAGTCGTATAGTTTAGTCATCATCTCTATTTTATAATAAAGAAATTGGAGCACAGAGAAGTTAAGTAATTTGCCCTAGATCGTTTAGTAAGTAATGATTTGTTTCCAGCCTGGTGCATCCCAGAACCCATGGTGTAGCACCCGCCCTGCAAGCATAAGGTCTTGAGTTCAATTCCTGGTATTCCCCCTGCCAAAAAAACCCCAATGGTTTCAACATTGTGCTTTTATTTAGGTGATAACATTTGGGTTACTTTTGTCCTCCTGTATTAGCTTTTACTATACATGTTTGAATTTTTACAAGAATCTGTATCGTTTTGTAATCAGAAAAAGAAACACATTTTGAAAAGAAGTAGAAAGCTTAACAATGTAAAATTAACTTTTGTTTAAAACATAAAAGCAAATGTCCAAAAAGAAATAGAACTACTATTCTTTTTTTATTTATTTTATTGAGAAATAAATATGAATGAGACAGTTTCACAGCTGATTAATAGGACAGTTTCAATAATCAATACATTGTACATTGTTATCTTCTTAGTGGTTATCCATATACAAGAAGCAGGATATCCTGTCCAAACAGTATACCTCTTACTTCTTATTGAATTAAGCAAAAGTAACTGTATATCTATCCTAACTATTTTGTATATATAAATACAAAATGATCTTTCCTTTGTATCCTCTTTTTTTGTTTAGTTCTGTCAGAGGTGGGTATTCTATTGGCATCTAAATACTATAGGTGTTTGAATTCAGCTAAACAATCCAACACTGACCAGCAGTCTATAATAGTAGTGGGTTATCCTTAGAAGTTATTGACTTGAGCCTTTTACAGCTCATTGTATTAATATGGCTTTACTTTATATACTTTTTTTTATACTTTTCTGCTGGATGGTAAAGACCAAGATAAAGCAAGACCTATATAACAAGAAATGTAA